ACGACTGTGAGCTGTGGCGATGGGAGGCTAGTAGACTGAAGAAGACGTCTCGAATAATCCCATCCGATCGAGATCACCGGATTCGATACGAATGATTCGGAGTCGTCGTTAAATAAACTGTGCCGGGCCTTGCGTTTCTGATGCTTTCGCTACCAAACTCACTTCAACGTGCAACGGTTCGTTTACAGTACCCAAGTGTGGTTCATAGGAGTCCCAAGTAAAGCTACATGTAAGATGAAGACGCTGGAAAAAGTATCACCCTTGAACTTCAATCGACGGCGCTGGAGTAAGTGGCATCGGTCGCCATCGGCTGAGTGCTCTGCTGTACTTCCGTCGCAATGAATGCTCTGCAACTGGACGTTGTCGCTTAGGTGTCCTTGGTCCGTTCGCTATTTCCTGTGCTCACTTTCCAATTCTCTGTCTCGAACACAAGCCTGTCTTCTCCACGACGACTTCTGTCGCCTTCAATTCCACTCATCGTCACAAAACCTCCGACCAGCAAAACCATGACTCGGAACTCGGACCTGGAGAAGAACAGTCACGCTGCGTACGCAGACCTCGAGTCTCCGGGAGACCCGAACCAGCACCTGCAGCACCTGACACCGGTTGAGAGCGTACCGTACTTGGTCAAGAGTCAATTCGCCAAGGAGATGATGGCCGAGTTCCTCGCTACTTTTGTCACCATGCTCTTCGGTCTGTCGTGCATGACCCAGGTGGTGCTGAGCAGCGAGGCCAGTGGCAATTTCGTGACCATCGCACTGTGTTGGGGTCTCGCCTTCTTCTTCGGTATCACCGTCGGCGGCGGTGTCTCTGGTGCACACCTGAACCCGGCAGTAACCACAACACTGGCACTCCTCAAACTATTGCCCTGGAAGAAGGTGCCGTTCTACATCCTCAACCAGGTCGTCGCTGCGTACGTGGCTGCGCTCTTCGTGTACATCCTGTACCGACCGATGTTCAACGAGGTTGACCCGGACCGGATGACCACGCACATCATCTTCGCGACGTTTCCGCACGAGAACGTTGGCAACTTCACGTGCTTCTTGACGGAGTTCGTGGCCACGGCACTGCTGATCCTGGGCATCCTTGCACTACTGGACCAGCACAACCGTCCTATCGGCAAACACGCCGTACCGCCTGCTGTCGGAGCGTTGGTGAGCACCATTGCGATGGGGTTCGCCATGAACACAGGTTTGGCTATCAACCCGGCTCGGGATCTGGGTCCCCGCCTCTTCATGCTGTGTGCCGGTTGGGGCTCGCGCGTGCTCTCGCTCAACCACTATTATTTTTGGGTGCCAATCGTGGCCCCAATTATGGGTGGAGCTGCTGGTGGGTTCGTGTACGAAGTACTGATCGGCTACCACCACCCCGAGAAGAACCGTGGCCCGCATCCGGAGTACCGATTCTAGGTGCGATGACGGGATTGGAAGTCTGTTTTCATGGATTTAGTTGATTACATTACATCGTTGCCTTGTTTGTTTTCAATATACTGTATTGCTTCAACATTTTTCGTTTAAGTGTGCAGCATTTTTGGCAAAGCCAACATTTGCTAGTACCGGGGGGGTATTAACAAGCTGTTACGTCACGTGACACGTAACTTACGTGTCAACCCTTTCTAGTGTTTGATTTCGATACCATTTTTTCCGATGTGACGTCCGGTCTGGAGATAATCGAACGCCGCAAGGACTTCTTCGCGATTGAAGCCGAATGTCTTCTGCACAAAAGGCTGAATGTGGTGGTTGCTGATAAACTGCACCAAGGCACGAAGTTGCTGCTGGCTGCCAAGGGAGATACCACGGACGATGCATCCCTTACCTAGGAGGAGAACGGTAAGGTCCGGCATATCTTCTTGCTTTACAGGAGATAGGAAACCAATCACCGAAATGACGCCACCAACCGCGATCGCTTCGATACTCTGCGTGATCGTTCCTGAGCCCCCGTTCTCCAACACGAAGTCAACTCCACGACCGCTAGTGATCTGGTTAGCCACTGTTGCCCAGTCGGGATGGGTCTTGTAGTTAATAACGTGGTCTGCACCAAAATTTTCCTGAACAAACTTGAGTTTCTCATCCGAGGACGAAGTGATGATCGTGGTAGCCCCCGCAGCCTTGGCAATTTGAAGACCGATGATAGATACACCTCCCGTTCCTGAAATTCAAACGCGTTAACCAAAAATTTGATTGTGTAAAATTATGGGGTGTAAGCTTACCTTGGAACAGAACTGTTTGTCCGGCTTTTAACGGAAGGACACCAAAGAGCGCGTTCCAAGCGGTAACTCCCGATGCTACCAGCGAGGCCATTTGCACGAAGCTGATACCGCACTTTTCCGGTACCTTGGTGATGACTTGTGCAGGCAGAGCGATATACTGGCGCAAGACGCCGTCGACATTTCCACCGAGTGACTCTCGCTCTAAACCGGGTGTGAGGCCGTCTAGGTTGTTCACGTCGAAGTTGGCAATGACGCGATCACCAAGCTGCAAGTTCTTGACGTCGGCCCCAAGCTCCAGAACAACCCCCGCCCCATCCGAGCAGGGGACGAGATCATCCTTGACGGGAAACGGATACGTGCCGTTGGCCACGATGGTGTCTCGGTAGTTGAGTGTGACGCCACGAATTTGCACCAGGACTTCGTCTGGACCGATCTCCGGTCTTGGTTCCGACTCGACACGAAGAGTACGATGCGAAGTACGGTCGGTATGGCGGAAGACGAGGTTGGAGGACGTCATACTTTGGCGGTGGTTAGATCGAGGTGCTATTGAAGAGGGATATTGGAAAGTGAGCTACGACAATGCGAGCTCAGTCATAACGGGGTTATCTTGGCTGGTAAAAGTGAGCTCGATTGCGTCAGCTTAACAGTAACGCGATCTGCTTGAGGTTACGAACAGCTGCACTGCCACAGTCGTAATCGGAGCTAGATGAATCCAGTTTTAATGTACCTTCGACGCTTTGAGCCCTTTGCAAAACCATTTGATTTGGAGCAATGTTCGATAATACCGGCATCTCTTGGAACCTGAACCTGAATCTAAAGTAATGCCGTTATAGTTTAGATGAAAATGAAGCCGAGTCGTTAAAACCTCTAAGCTTAAAACTTACTCAGAATATACATCTAAAAATTAAATCCGAACACTTAGGTGGTAAAATATACAGCTTACGGGTAAGTTGGTGTGGTAAACTACTACTGATATTCTAGAGCAAAGCGAGCTGAGTAGGCCACCAAGCATTGTTAGCAGTGAGCAAAAGTAAAGCTTACAAAACCAATTTACACGTTAGCTGTATTTTGTACGACCTAAACGCTCGGGTTTTATTTATTCTGAGTAAGTTTTAAGCTTAGAGGTTTTAACGATTCGGCTTCATTTTCATCTAAACTATAACGGCATTACTTTAGATTCAGGTTCAGGTTCCGAGAGATGCCGGTATTATCGAACATTGCTCCAAATCAAATGGTTTTGCAAAGGGCTCAAAGCGTCGAAGGTACATTAAAACTGGATTCATCTAGCTCCGATTACGACTGTGTTGTTTACCGTTGGCAGTGCAGCTGTTCGTAACCTCAAGCAGATCGCGTTACTGTTAAGCTGACGCAATCGAGCTCACTTTTACCAGCCAAGATAACCCCGTTATGACTGAGCTCGCATTGTCGTAGCTCACTTTCCAATATCCCTCTTCAATAACACCTCGATCTAACCACCGCCAAAGTATGACGTCCTCCAACCTCGTCTTCCACCATACCGACCGTACTTCGCATCGTACTCTTCGTGTCGAGTCGGAACCAAGACCGGAGATCGGTCCAGACGAAGTCCTGGTGCAAAGTCGTGGCGTCACACTCAACTACCGAGACACCATCGTGGCCAACGGCACGTATCCGTTTCCCGTCAAGGATGATCTCGTCCCCTGCTCGGATGGGGCGGGGGTTGTTCTGGAGCTTGGGGCCGACGTCAAGAACTTGCAGCTTGGTGATCGCGTCATTGCCAACTTCGACGTGAACAACCTAGACGGCCTCACACCCGGTTTAGAGCGAGAGTCACTCGGTGGAAATGTCGACGGCGTCTTGCGCCAGTATATCGCTCTGCCTGCACAAGTCATCACTAAGGTACCGGAAAAGTGCGGTATCAACTTCGTGCAAATGGCCTCGCTGGTAGCATCGGGAGTTACCGCTTGGAACGCGCTCTTTGGTGTCCTTCCGTTAAAAGCCGGACAAACAGTTCTGTTCCAAGGTAAGCTTACACCCCATAATTTTACACAATCAAATTTTTGGTTAACGCGTTTGAATTTCAGGAACGGGAGGTGTATCTATCATCGGTCTTCAAATTGCCAAGGCTGCGGGGGCTACCACGATCATCACTTCGTCCTCGGATGAGAAACTCAAGTTTGTTCAGGAAAATTTTGGTGCAGACCACGTTATTAACTACAAGACCCATCCCGACTGGGCAACAGTGGCTAACCAGATCACTAGCGGTCGTGGAGTTGACTTCGTGTTGGAGAACGGGGGCTCAGGAACGATCACGCAGAGTATCGAAGCGATCGCGGTTGGTGGCGTCATTTCGGTGATTGGTTTCCTATCTCCTGTTAAACAAGAAGATATGCCGGACCTCACCGTTCTCCTCCTAGGCAAGGGATGCATCGTCCGTGGTATCTCCCTTGGCAGCCAGCAGCAACTTCGTGCCTTGGTGCAGTTTATCAGCAACCACCACATTCAGCCTTTTGTGCAGAAGACATTCGGCTTCAATCGCGAAGAAGTCCTTGCGGCGTTCGATTATCTCCAGACCGGACGTCACATCGGAAAAATTGGTATCGAAATCAAACACTAGAAAGGGTTGACACGTAAGTTACGTGTCACGTGACGTAACAGCTTGTTAATACTAACAAATGTTGGCTTTGCCAAAAATGCTGCACACTTAAACGAAAAATGTTGAAGCAATACAGTATATTGAAAACAAACAAGGCAACGATGTAATGTAATCAACTAAATCCATGAAAACAGACTTCCAATCCCGTCATCGCACCTAGAATCGGTACTCCGGATGCGGGCCACGGTTCTTCTCGGGGTGGTGGTAGCCGATCAGTACTTCGTACACGAACCCACCAGCAGCTCCACCCATAATTGGGGCCACGATTGGCACCCAAAAATAATAGTGGTTGAGCGAGAACACGCGCGAGCCCCAACCGGCACACAGCATGAAGAGGCGGGGACCCAGATCCCGAGCCGGGTTGATAGCCAAACCTGTGTTCATGGCGAACCCCATCGCAATGGTGCTCACCAACGCTCCGACAGCAGGCGGTACGGCGTGTTTGCCGATAGGACGGTTGTGCTGGTCCAGTAGTGCAAGGATGCCCAGGATCAGCAGTGCCGTGGCCACGAACTCCGTCAAGAAGCACGTGAAGTTGCCAACGTTCTCGTGCGGAAACGTCGCGAAGATGATGTGCGTGGTCATCCGGTCCGGGTCAACCTCGTTGAACATCGGTCGGTACAGGATGTACACGAAGAGCGCAGCCACGTACGCAGCGACGACCTGGTTGAGGATGTAGAACGGCACCTTCTTCCAGGGCAATAGTTTGAGGAGTGCCAGTGTTGTGGTTACTGCCGGGTTCAGGTGTGCACCAGAGACACCGCCGCCGACGGTGATACCGAAGAAGAAGGCGAGACCCCAACACAGTGCGATGGTCACGAAATTACCACTGGCCTCGCTGCTCAGCACCACCTGAGTCATGCACGACAGACCGAAGAGCATGGCGACAAAAGTAGCGAGGAACTCGGCCATCATCTCCTTGGCGAATTGACTCTTGACCAAGTACGGTACGCTTCCAACCGGTGTCAGGTGCTGCAGGTGCTGGTTCGGGTCTCCCGGAGACTCGAGGTCTGCGTACGCAGCGTGACTGTTCTTCTCCAGGTCCGAGTTCCGAGTCATGGTTTTGCTGGTCGAAGGTTTTGTGACGTTGAGTGGAATTGAAGACGACAGAAGTCGTCGTGGAGAAGACAGGCTTGTGTCCGAGACCGAGAATTGGAAAGTGAGCACAGGAAATAGCGAACGGACCAAGGACACCAAAGCGACAACGTCCAGTTGCAAAGCATTCATTGCGACGGAAGTACAGCAGAGCACTCAGCCGATGGCGACCGATGCCACTTACTCCAGCGCCGTCGATTGAAGTTCAAGGGTAATACTTTTTCCAGCGTCTTCATCTTACATGTAGCTTTACTTGGGACTCCTATGAACCTCACTTAGGTACTGTAAACGAACCGTTGCACGTTGAAGTGAGTTTGGTAGCGAAAGCATCAGAAACGCAAGGCCCGGCACAGTTTATTTAACGACGACTCCGAATCATTCGTATCGAATCCGGTGATCTCGACGTCTTCTTCAGTCTACTAGCCTCCCATCGCCACAGCTCACAGTCGTCTGAAGCAGCGAGGTGGCCGCGCTCAAATTTTCAAAGTTCAGTTAAGCGCCAGAACGGTCATGGCTTTTGCCGTTCAGAGGCTTTTGTCGTCCTTGAACGCGCCACCGCACTTGACTGCACCCCGCTTTCCATACGTCGATGACGTCAATCGAAAGTGAACCTTCACTTGCCGTCATCATCGCGCTCCCATACTCCATTCAATACAAAAGCGACGTTAAACACCGCGCGCGGGGCGGCACGGGCAATCCGAGGAAACCCAACGTCAGGCAATGACAAATTCAATGAACGGCATGGCCAACTTGAAGCGATCACTGTCAATGGCGAAGTTCCTCTAAAAGCCTACACCTGGTGCCTACCTTGCTTTACAACATTGCAAACACTCGCAGTGCTGCCTGCCGACTTCGACTTTGGTAGCTGTTATTGCATGCTGCTGGATTTGCCGATTGCATTCGCTACAGTCGAATAGAATACACGGAAACCTTGCACGTTCGGCACCGCGGTACATGTTTTCATAATTGCCGGCATCTTGACGCGTGCTGCCCAAGTCCCAGAGGCACCGCACTCGCCCCGGCCGCATCTATCAGTCCTCGGCTGACGCTCCAGCCTCCTTCTACGGCGGACGCGGTCTTCTCTCGCCAGCAGCAGCGTAGTCAACGAAATTAACTGAAAAGCACAATACTATTTCCAAAAAGTATTTAACAGTGTTCGGTTCAATTCTCATTTAAGTACGAATTGCGTTGCGTACACACACTCCTGATTTCAAATTTGGCGCGCACAACGACACAGATCCCTTTCCGCTCTTGGCAATGGCTCCGTCCAGCTCTGTCTCGGCGTCCATCGACCCTCTCTTCGAGTTCGACGCTCCGCAGTTCGCAGACCTCAACGCACCCTTATCTTCGCTTCAACCGGGCGAGCACGACCCCTGGTTCGACCAGATTCACTCGCAACACAGTAAGCCCAGTGCGGAATTGGCGAAGGAGCTGGAGGAAGCCGTGCGGAAGTTGCAAGACAGAGAGCAGAAACTTAAGGACGCAGTAAAACCTAAAAGCAACTCAAAACGCGATCGCAGATGGAGCACGAACAAGGAGAATCAACAGCCAGCAGACTGGCGCGAGATCGTGGCGGCCCAGAATAAGAAAATTCAAGAGAAGAGAAGGAGCAAGCTCACGAGCTTGAAGGAGATGCGGGCGACACAGGAGCCCTTTAAGTTGCACAAGACCAAAGTTGAGGTCAAAACGGTCTCTGCTCTGCCTACGAAGAGCAGGAAGCCTCTCGGAGACTTGGGGAACAGACTCAATTCAGGCAGAAAGAGAGCGAATCCTGAGAGGGAGATGAAGGACTTGCACGAGCTGCTGAAGAAACACAACAAGAAGTTCAAGGCTATACACACATACGAACCTCCGCAGCATTCAGTGCGAGAGGTGAAGCAGGTAATAACAGAGCAATGTGGGGATATTCTTTGAGTGGCCTTTATTAATTTTTTTTGCTATATTTTATAAGTGGGAACGAGATACAGGCAAAAGTTATTATGCTTTATCGGCAGAGGAGCGTGTGCAAGCGAACCAAGATATTACCGTCTGGAAGCAGAGAAGGCAAGCGGAGAGAAGCCATTAGAGAGAGAATGAAAGGCTGCTTTTATACTTTATTTAATAAGAGAGGCCCTCTATACTATGTGTCTAGCATACAGAGCATCGCACAGCCGCGACAAATCCAGTGGTCGGGGCTTTTATCCGTCGGGACGTCGAGTGCAACAACGAAGTTGGTGGAGTGACCGGTGGTGGACAATGTGCCGGCGCGGATGGAAGTTTTGTAGAGTGGACACTCGTACACGTCGGTGGGTTTGTACTCTTCTCGACGCATGGGTTTAAGCCAGATGACTGGCATGCGATCGAACAGCTCGTTGGGGATGGACTCTGCCATCATGCGAGTCTTCCGGTCGTACCGTGCGCCTTCCATGAAGAGCCCGAAGATGTAGACACCAAATGGCGGTGGAGCTTTGTATTGCTCCTTGTCGTGGGCCATAATCTCGCACGATACAACCAGTGCATCGATAGCGATCTGTTTGTCTCGAGAGAACGACTGCTTGACAGCTGTCATGAAGCCTTGAGGGAAGAAGAAGCCCGACAGCCAGAAAGCAAGTGGCGGACCCTTAATTAACCAGTCGTTGGTGAGGTTGATTCGCATGAAGAAGTCTTCGATCCACGAGGCCAAGGGTTTCACGCACGGGTATCCAGCGTTCTCCCACTCACTCGGGATCTGCTGGATCAAAAAGCCGTTGTACATCTTCTCGAGAGGACCAGACATGACCACAAGTCCCTTGATCGCTCGCTTCAGCATCTCCAACGTCGTCTTCATCACTTGTGTTAGCACGTTGAAGCGGATCATTTCTTGTGACAAGAAGACACCCAAAGAATTTCGACTGCCGCCTGCTGCTTCTGCGAACGTTGATGGGTGTGCATTGCTCTCCATGAATGGCTCGGGCATGTGCTCTTGGATAGCCACCACCATCTCCATTACGCAGCGCCGCCACCGCCACTATCACCACCTCCACCCAGCATCTTCAGGATTGTGCCCAGTAACTGACCCGTTTCTTTCTGTTGGAAAGTAATGTCCGCGTTGGCGTGAAGACCGAAGATGTCTGGTGCATCTGCTGTTGGCAACGAGCTCACGTACTCTCGCACACTAGCCAAGGATCCTTCGGACGGAGCGTAGTATAATCCGGACGTGGTGAAGCGGTACGAGTCGTCCATGACGCCTGGACAGAAGAGCTTCCGCATGATACTCGAGTTCGTACGTTTATCCCAGCGATCCGTGATGCGTCCGCCGTACGAAATATCCGCCACCATGACGTTCAGTGTCAAGTACGGTACTTCTTCTTGTTCCTCGAGATACAGTCGCACCTGCTGCATTCCTGTCTTCAAGTCACTGTTCATCCACTCGTACGGGATGTTCCACCCCACGGCGCCAAACTTGCGACGTTCAAGACACACGGCGTTGTAGAACGCAAGAGCGAACAGCAGCTTCTTGAACTCGCGAGGTTTCGTGCAGCCTTCGTAGTCGCCCTCCTTCATATCGAGGAACGTACGCCCGAGATTTGCCTTAATTCCTTTCGGAGGCTCATTCGTGATCTTGATGCCGTTCTGCAGAATAGGCACGGGGAAGCGAGGACTCGGCATACTCGTGAGCCACAGTCGGAACTCGTCATGCATCTCTTCAGTCGCTGATTGTTCCAAAATCTGCTCGAGACGACCCAGCCACGAGACTGCCAAGTGACAATTCTGTAGACACACCCAGTCACCCGTTTGCTTGGCTTGCTTCATCAGTGCTTCGGCAATTGGTCCCTGACCTTGTCCAAGCGAGATAATCTTGAGACCGGAGCCGTCTTTCCCTTCTTGCTTGGCCAGTTCCAAGAGATAGTCGTTGATGTCGGCGCCAGGAGAAAGCACGAAGATCAAAGGTGTCTCTGGTTTCGAGTCTCGATAACAGCCACCCAAGTCGAATGGTGGAGACTCTGTGAAGAACTCGCCCAGCTCACGTCCAACGAACTCGCGAGTACCGAAGACAAGCATCTCTTCTCGAAAGACACGCAACACCAGCAGCTTCTGGAAGTTCGTGAGTGTTGATTCCCAGGGCTCCGGTAGAACTTCTGCATGCGGCAGATCAGCTAGCACCATGGCACATTTCCACTCGGCTGCACGTTGTCCCACAGACGATGCCAGATCCGTGAACGCCGACGAGATGTCCTTCATGCCAACCACGGTCTTCCATACGCGGTCAGACAACCAAGAAGGACGCGTGATTCCACAGGATTCAGCTTGTGCTGCTTGTGTAGCCGAGCTCCTCTTATCACCGACGAGATAGAAGTTCCATTCACCCGACGTGATCGCACCGCGATGCAGCAAAATACTCGACGCGATCATAAACGCGTAGATGATTTTGTCCTTCTCGAACAACCCTCGACAAACATTCACGAACATGGATATGGTGATATCTTGCATGAGGATCTCCAGCCGTTCCTCCAGCACTTCCGACTTGGTTGAGTTTTGCAGCCTCATCACAAAGAGCTTTTGATAAAACTGCAGCGAGTACTGGTACATGGGGTCGACGAGCGCCAGATTTGCAATGGCAAAATAGATTATGGAGCCACGTACTGCCACACAGCGATACCCTTCGCGTGTCTGGTCGATCTCCATGGACGTAGTCTCAGCTTCCGCCATACGCGTTTTGATCGCCGACGAGGTGACTTTACTGTGCGCCAACGTGTCGATCAACTCTTCGTCGTCCAAAATATTTCCCTTGGAGTTCTCGAGCATGTACAGAATTTTATCTTCGATCTCCTTGAGCTGTTTCTTGTCCGCTGCAATATTCACAGTCAGCTCGTTCTTCTTCTGTTCAAGATCGGGTCGTTCACTTCGTACGACATCAACCAGTAACTGATCTTCAAGACCTGTAAGTGTGACTGTGAAGTTAATGATCGTCACTTTGATGCAGATCTCAGGCATGTAGTGAGGATTCGCCAGCTTTGTGGTAATGTAGAAACGGAAGTTGTCGCTATACGAAACATCGCTATCTCCAAGATGAAGAAGGTTCTGTCCGCCGCGCTTGAACACTTGCTTGAGTAGCACAGGTTCGAGCGACGGATCCAGATCTTCCTCCACGTTCTCGAGCATCACAGGAGAGCCGTATCGGATAGCGTTCTCCAACGTACGTAAGAAATCTTTCTGCGATAGCTTTATGATCTGTAGCGACCCTGACGCTTTGTACATGTTCTTGATCCACTTGTTCGCTTGTCCCTGTGGATCGATCATGAGTGGCCAGCGTCTCCCCATTGTAGTAAACAAACCGTTCTCGATAGAAAAAGTATCAGCCGGCAGTCCCATGATGTTCCACTCTCGTACTACGACAGGATCTGCTAACACTCGCTGGAAGGAGAAATTCCCGTCCACTGGTAGATCACTAGCTTTGCAGAAGGAGACCCACTTAGCTTGAAGTTCGTGACGGTATTCAGAGGTGAATGGACCAAGGTACGCAATGCATCCAGCAGATAGAATCATGTCACCGACCAGGTTAATCATATCCTTGGCTAAGTTTTCAGCACATTCTTTCCAGCGACCTTGCTCCTCTCCAAGCGAGTCAATCAGACGTTCAGCACGCACAAGCTGCGCCTGGGTCTTCTGCGATTGCATCTCTAAGTCGATCTTCTTCTGCTGTGCTTCTTCTAGGGTACGTTTCAGATCGGCGACCTTCTTGAGTACTGCGTTCAGCCCACTTTGCTTGACGTCGAGTTGTTTCTGTTCCTCTTCGAGTCTCTGCTCCGCGGTCTTGAGGTTCTCCTTCTTCGGGGCAATATTCTTGGCCACCGTATCGTACGTGTACATGGCTCGTACCCACATACAGAGCGATGTGGCTGCAGTGGAGATACTACTAAGCGTTTCGGGCGTGAACTCTTCATCAGTGATGAACTTCTGGAGTTGTCGAATGGTCTTTGGGGGAATATTGTCCTTATCGAACTCCTTCAGCTTATCCAGAAACTTCATATCGTTCAGCAACTTCTTGGCCTCGTTCCACTCCTGTTTCGACCCGAAGAGTAGACACACAGCATTCATAGTGACACCCACTAGTCTCGGAGGGTTGGTGAACGTCTTGAGCACGGTGATATCGTCCTTCTTCAGTTGTGACAATGCTTTGATTGACGCATAGTATGCAGGCATAGCTTCGTCCAGATCCTTCTGACAGTCGTCTTTAATCACCTTCACTTCGTCTGCGATCTTGTTAGCAGCCTCCACGTCTGCTTGAATCAGTTGTTGCTGTTTATCTGCTTCTGCTTGATCTCTTGCCACTTGTTCCAGCAGTATCGAAGTGTCTTTCTGAGCTTGAACTAGCACTGGCTGTAGCTCTGTGAGTGAGCTCTTCAAGTTCCCCACAACTTCTTCTGTTTCGGTGAGTTTCTGCAGACCGCCACGGTATCTTGCTTCCTTCGCGCGTACTAGCTGACGATGTGTACGTAACATATCCACATACAGTCGAATAAGCTCCAAGTAACTCGTCGGCGTCGTGTAGTTACGTCGCTTTAGCTGCGTGTAGAACCGAAGCGTGGCTTCTTCGACACTGCGGTGAATTGTTACAGCCATACGACACAAAATGTCGACGTGAGCATCGATTCCAAGCTCCTCAGCGTTCGTAGCGAAGAAGCGGTTGGCCACCGAGTTGAGTGCATCTTCAGGCCACGCATTGAACCAGTCTATAGTACAGCAATTAACTAGCGACGGGAACATACGACAGCGATTACGAAAGCCGGCGCCAATGGGGGAAAACGCTAGCACCACGTGCAGGTTATCACGCACCAGCGTCACGTAATACTGCAGAATATCTTCGCGAGTAACTTTACCAACTTGCTGCGCCAATGGACGAACGAGTCCCACAATCTTCTCCACTTCGTCATTCGCATACAAGTTCGGTACTTCACCGGTATTGAGAACGTTGTTGATGTCTTCAAGAAAAGACTCGTGGACAATCTGAGCGTCAGAGAACAAGAAGACAACAGGCTGGTTCTGGGCACCTGCCGTCATGAGGATTTTCTTGAGATCTTCATGGAATTCATTGGCCCCGTAGCCGCGAGTAATCTCGATGGAAAAGCACTTATAGTCAGCCATGAAGGATGCGAGACGGGTGAGACTTTGACGTCCCGAGCCACCAACACCAACTAGTAAAGCATTGCCACGTGGCTGTCGTAGCACTCGACAGATCCGCGAGATGTGGTGCATGGCGTCGTTAAAGAAGACCAGGTGCATCTGGCTTGGGAACGTGATGTTGTACTCTTCCAAATATTCCGAAAGCAGCGAGTTTAACTGGCCGAGATCCTCCACAGGTCGATAGCTGCGGTTTTCACGTGTTAGATAATCGCCATACAAAATGTTCTCGAAGCATGAAGGTGGCCACGACACGTTGAGTTTCTCCTCTATCAGTTGTGAGCACGCCGAGTTGAACCAAGCGCGATCTTCGGCATCAACGAGACGATCGCGGAACACACGAGCTTCTTCGTGTAACCAGAGCGTCAACAGTCCATCTTCCGTCGGAACGTTCTCCTTCTTCACCATTAATACACCTTGGAAAACCTTGGACAGATCGCGAAGATTGAACGTGTAATGAGACTTCGAGGGCGTAGGGAGCATCTCCAGTTCCACACGCTGATAGAGCTGCACGGAGGCACTGACGATAGGTGCCGCCATGTGAGCCATCGCTGGTAGTTCAGCACCGAGGAAACCTCCCAATATGGACGAGAAGATGCGCTGCATGACTTCCCCCGAGAGATTTGGAATCCAAACCATGTGGAAGTGACGCATCAAACGCGGTGTCACCTCGCTGCGACCGCCTCCGGGAGGAGCACACGCCGCAGCGAAGACCACGTCCTTCACATTCTTGAAGAACATCTTGGATGTATCGTAGAACCCTCCTTGATCGATAACCTGTCGTAGTAGCTCGTTCGGAGGTTGCGCGCCGTAAATCTCGAGTGCTGGCATGTTTAAATCGTCTACAAAGAATAGCATGCGCTTCCCCACTGGTGGTCCTAATAAGTTCTTACGTTTTTTGTCCAGCTTCAACTCGAACATTTCGTTCAGGTTGCGAGGCTTCGTCTGCGCCGAATAGCTCATAGTCGACGATATACAGCTATCTGTCTTGGCCATATCGTCCAGAAATGACTGGACAATGACCGACTTCCCAACGCCAGTTTCTCCACTGTACAGCACGTGATGGTCTGCGAGCATGAGCTTCTCTAGGAGATATCGGAACCGTGTCGTGTCTTGTGTAGGGACAACCATCGTAAAGTACGAAGCACCAGGAACAAAGGTGAAAGTCGGCGTCTTCTCGAGCCACGAGGCCCATTGACCAGTCATATCGTCGACTACCACTTCATAGACACTAGAGACCGGCTCACCGTCATGGCTACTGTCGATGAGTGAGTGGAACTGGCTCATACAGAACTCATTGAACTTCGGACGTGATGCATCATCGATATTCGCTCCTACAGACCACGTGACGGCAAACACGAAGTACATTCGTATCAAGCCCGCTACGTTATTCGCACCGGCATTCTGGAGTGCACCAGTGGCCAAACAAGAGGCCAGTAGATTCAAACAGCTCTGCATTAAGTTGTGGTTGTTGCTTGGAACTTTCTCGCGACAATGTTCACGCACAAATGCGATCGCAACGGGGACATAAGTCTCAATTAAAAGCAGCAACATGTCGCTCAACTCTGGGTACGATGGCATAATCGGCTCCAGAGTTGTGACCTTCCAAGTTTGCGCGAGTGACGTCATACCAACGTGAACCTGCTCCATGTACACCATACCACAGCGACTCACAGTAGCCGGCGACGCTACACGAAGGTCTTGCACTTCAAACATCATGTGCAGTGTATGTGGTAGCTTGATACGCTCACTATTGGACAGACACAGCGTCTTGTTGTCGTCCAGCACCGTGTTCATATTCTCAATCCACACCGCATCCACTGGCCCGTCGAAGATCACCCAGTTTCGATTTTCTGACTCGGCAGCTTCCTGTACGCATTGTCGGACTAACTTGGGTACGAGACCATCAGTCCATTCGTTCGTAAGCAAATTAAACTCGCCGTATAGCTGTCCTGCCGAAATAGACTTGGGGTTGAGAGTTAACCGCTGGACTTCTTTATAAAACCCATCACGATCCACAACCCCATCTTGGTACAGCTGTGTTAAAGCTCTTGCTAGCACGTAGCAGTTGGTGCTTTTGCCACTCCCCGCTTCACCGACCAGCATCATACCGTGGCGAACAAGCTGTGTTTCGTGCACTTGTATGGCTTTGGCGATAAATGATGGTACCTGCTGCAAGTGTAGCAAGTCTAACTGTTGCTCGATGGCTTTCTGGAGTAGTCCATAGTCGACAAATGGTACCACAACACCCGGGAAGAGATCTGCAATAATTCCACGGAATAACGGAAGATCCTGCTCCAGGAACTTGGGCACGTTACTGTCCCGCATTGCCCGAATGAGAAGCAAATCTTCATGCATCTCCGGCTCCTTGCGTTTTAGCTGACCAGCTGCAACCAGCACAGACTTGACAGCACGCATTCCGAAGTCGTAGTGGTCTTGTTTGGACAGTTGTTCACTAGATAGTGAGTAAAGCTGCGTCATCTTGTGTGACAGTGGCAAGGCATTCGCAAAACCCTCGGAGAACAGCACAATCTCAGCAATGAGTCGGTAGTCCGGCACCATCATCGCAACAGGGCGGAAGAGCGCCTTCAAGTTGTCAGGCAGCTCAGTACGACCAGCGTAACCAGGATTCATCGTAATGAACACACCAAATCCAGTGTTAAGTCGGATGAGACTGCCTTCGAATTCGAACTCGTCCACGTCTGCCACAATAGCTTGTTGGATACAGAGAACTTGCTGCGCAATGACAGATAACACCTCGATATCAATACGGTTAAACTCGTCAAAGCACGCCCAGGCCCCCGCCTGTGCGAGACCAGAGAAGAATCTTCCCATAATCTTGTAATCCAAGCCATCCGAACAGTTGAACACGACGCACTGTACTGCCAATGCCTTTGCCAGATCTTTGGTAGTTTCGGTCTTGCCTGTACCCGCCGGACCAGCTGGAGCGCCACCGAGACGTAGATGCAACGCGCCTGTGAGCGTCATATAGCAAATATCCGTCAATGGAGTAATCACGAGTCTTGGAGAATTACCCAGATACTCATAGCCATAGATGAATCGGGTGTTGGTCTGCCTGGCTACGAAGTTCTTGACATCGTCCTCCCAATAGTATCGCAGCTGTCGAGTCCACTCAAAGTCGCTAAGAGATGACACGTTGCTGTCCGCTAATGAACGCACCACGTCTCTAGCGTGGACGTCGATAGTGATGATAGCGCCCATAAGAATACGCTGTAATTTCGTCAATGATCCGCGCACGAGTTGAACCATTCCATCGATCTGCTTCAAGCTAAACTGAAGAAATCCACCAACCGCGTTTGGGTCATTACCACTCTCCACTTGAGAGATTGCCTCCGTCACATTTCGCGTCCAAAAGACCTGGTCAACAAGAATTATCACTTGCGCCGAGTACCCGAAGAGCCATTCCTTCCGGTCGATGGCGTCCTCTATCGGGTAGTTCATCAACGCCTTCACACCGTCTTCGTAGAGACTTGCACGCATGGCTTTCTCCACTTCTGTAAGCCACGTTTCCACTGGACCTTTCGCGATCACTTGCCTGGGGAAAAGAACCAACTCGCCTTCACCACTAACCATTGCGTTGACGACGTTGTTAGCAGAACCGGGTGTGTCATCAAAGCGTACACTCTTCATGGCGTCGAAACACTTGCCCAAATGTGGCTGTACTGCACGTGGATCACGCGTTTGCGAGAGGATCTCCAGCAGCTCGTCGTTCGAGAGGAAGTAGAACCGTGGGAAGGCCATGCGCTTGGTTTCAAGATAGTCTTCTAAGGACTTCTGGATCTCTTCCAGCAGTCTGTTGGACATGCGAAACTGGTCCAAGAGTTCAGGACCTCCCTCCACGGACCTAATGACACTGGGACCATGTTTAGTTCGAAGCATCGTCGTCCTCCAGTTCTTGTCAACAAGTGCGAACTTCTGTGCCTCAACAGGGAGTTGTTTCTGGATATCTTCGGCGCAGAAGATGGTCTCCAAGTACATCCAGCTGCGTTGACACGCTATCCACTCGTCCAGTGTGTCTGAGAGCAACGACAAACGCTTGCTCCATCGTTCCACTTCGTCTTTCACTCCCATAATGAACCGTGACCCCATCATCGTCTGCAGACCCACCTGGTTGTCTTCCAGCAGCATTAAAATATCCTCCAGACTTCCCAAGATGAAGACGTCGTTCTGGTCACGATGGCTCACACACGTGAACTTCATCTGGTCCCAGCCGTGTTTGATCTTCTGCAGAGATGTCTCAATCTGAGCCTCACCCGAGGCAGCTGCGGACACCTCGCCCACTAGGTCTTTCATGTCCAAGACGTCGTAGGATACCAGGTTCTCCAGTGTAAACAGGATGCCAGGATACCAGGGCTGTCGTAGAGCCTTGAAGATCTTCTCCCAGTGACGATCTTTCATTGCTGAATTGCCTAACTCGAGTACAGTAGGCATTTTGAGCTTAAACTCAGCCGTGCGGTCTTTGAGAACAGCCGTCACATCGTTGCTGAGTTTCTTGTGTAAAGCATATGCGTCCTTGAAGGCTACAGCGACGTCCTTGGACAGCTCCTCTGCATTCACCTCCACAAACGGACTTGTCATAGCTCCTAGATACAGCGCATTCCACTTCTCGACAGCCGTCCATAGCGAATCTACAGTGCCAAAGTACTCTTGTGTCGCCTGCAAATTGAGATACTTGAACGGCGTGAGGTTGAACAACGACTGGTACTCAGTGTACTGCTTGGAGAGTTCGTCCAACTGAGTGAGACGTTGCTTGACATTCTCCAGCTCAGTCTTCACGCCAGAGGGGTCTTCAAAGTGGCTAGCATCAATGAACACTCCTCCTTGCAGCTGAGTGTGCAGTTGAAGCACTTGTTCATCCAGTCGTTGGATATTGGCGTCCAGCTGCTGCGTCATCTCACCCACTCGACTCGCCACGAACGCATCAACAGCTTCCGTCTCCTCCTTATAATTCTCTTGGACACTACGTAAGTCATCTAATTGCACCATATCCTCTGACGAGATACGCACGCCATAAGTGCCTAGAAGACGGTACAACTCGTCCACTACGTTCGTGTTTTTCGCCAGCGCCTTCTGCTTGGACTTGAGATTCTGCACACGCTCCACATGCCCCGCGAACTCCTTCAAATGCTGCGGTCTTTGGAGTAATGACTGGATACGCTGCTTGTACTCGCCCAGCTGAGTCTTACACCGCGCACGAGCCAAGTCCTTCACTAACCCTTTCATAGCGTCCAGCTTGGCTGTGGTCATCGGGATCAACGTCTGCTTCAGCTTTCTACTCTCCACATGTAAGATGCCAGTAGTCTGGCCAGCTCTCATCTTCTCCAGCTCTTTCTCCCATGTACTAATCTGTAGCATGTCTGCTTTGAGCGTAGTGACGGTGTGTGCACGCTGAGAATATTCCTCTAGATCCCACACCTTGTCGTATTCGTAGATTGGCCTCACATTGTCAAAGATCTTCACGTATTCCGTAGCTTCAGCGTAATCACTAGCGATTTTGGCCACGAGTTCCTTGCGGATCTGCCCGAACGCCACACTGCTCGTAATTGTTGAGGCGACATGTGGAGCATCCGCCACTGCATTGCCAACATAAGGTGCAAACGGACGGAGATACAGCACACGAGAGACGGAGTTGACAGTGCTCACGATGTCGTCTGTCATGGCTATCACGATGTGCTGGATTTGCTCGCTCGTAGGAGAGAAAATTGTCGACTGCTCTCCGAAGAAGATCGTCGTCTCAAAGAGCCCCGTCTTGCGTGGCACTTTGTTCAGTTCATGCAGGAAGTTGGCACAGCTCTGGACAGCTAGAATCACGAGACTTTCAGCGGCGATGCAGTCGATAAGTCGGATGAAATCTGCGATCATTCCAGCCTCCTCAGCAGCTCGACGAAAGAGCCTGCGTCTCTGTTGTTGCTCAGCTTTGACCGCTACAATGGACTTGGTCTTCTCCTGACTTGTCCCCATGGCACTCAACGCCATATCCGACATGAAATCGTCTTGCGAAGTGTTCGTCTTGGTGAGATTCTTCACGTCCGAGCACACACGCTGGATGATCGACTGCAGCTTCTCAATACACAACTCGAATTGCTTCGATCCCTCCGCACGTTTCGTGCCCTGATACTCGACAAACGCCGAGCTCTCGTACGTCTTCTGAGCTCGTAAATCCAGCAACACGACGCCCATGAGCTCCGTACTCATCACTTTCTTGACTTGCAGCAAAGGCACGCAGAAACTCTCCTTGGCCAAGAACAACTTGGCACTCAAACGTTTCCTCTGGCGGCAATAGAGTTTGTACCGTACATTGGCACACCACAGAGAGAACGCCTTGTTGACGAGGTAGTGTTTAAAGAACCGCAGCGAGGTGAGCACGTTGAACATCGTCGATTGACGCATCCACTCAGCCAGAGCGATGAACTCGGACGGACTGCCAGTGCAGACGTGCACCAGACCACTCGAGGACATGGTGAAGTGTTCGTTTGGAGTCACGTCGTCTTGCGCGACCACCACGAGGTCGTACGGTCGGAATGCCAGTCTAGTCTCGGCGCGATTTAGATGCACAAACTTGATTTCACTGTCCGAGCCGTTGCGCGCAAAGAACGCGATCGTGTCTTCGCCAGTCTTGAGAAACGCAGTCGCCGACGCTGCAGCAGCTTCGGCAGAAGCATCAACCACCACGACACTCGACGCTCCGGTGGCTGGGTCATAGTGACCGATGAACACGGACGGACGTTGATCTCGCTGGTTCACGGCAGGATTTTCCTCCTCCTCACCCAAAGACTTCGCCAGTGTGGCACGCAGAAAGCGCCGAGGAGAAGCCTCTCGCGTGGATCGTGCGTTGTCTTCCCATGATATGCCAGCTACTTCTCCTACCGCTTTGGACGCTTGCGCGTGTTTCGGCGACTGACCTGACGGTTTGACTCGACGTGGCTTGCTCTTCTTCTCTGGACTGTACAGAGTTCCTGGGAATACGGGAATCTTCTTGGGGGACATGTATTCCTCCGCTGTCGTAAACGTAAAGTTTTGTCCTGTGTCTTTCGCTGTAGCCATCGGCGACTTCATGGTGGCTCTCGCTCCTTCCACCGCCTGCATGGGTTTATTTGACGACAACGTGGCTCCAAAGCCGGAACCTCCATCAAACTCGAACGTCGCATCCAGCGTCAAGTCATACACAGTGTTCCCAGGCCGTGTATGACTTGGTCGTCTCGTCTTGGTCGGACTCTTGGATCGCTGCTGCATCACGACAAGTCGCGTCGACTAAGCAGAATGTGAGCGACAGAAACCTGCAGCAATAAACAAAAAGAAATAACGGACACCCAGTCTCCACAAAAATAATACTAGTACAACATCAATACTACAGCCAGCTCCTTGTACAGTTATTATAGTTATTCTCCACTGGAAGCGAGACGTGTGCGTTCGTCCACTTTGTCCCGGTTCAGTCTGGCCACAAACGAGTCCTTCTTCCACCTATGAAGGACTCGGGTCTCTTTGGCTCGCTGAATAAAACGCTGTTGTGCCTGGTGTTGAGCTTTGACTGCCCAGTCGGCGGTGGCCGCCTCGGAGAAGATCTGGTCCCAATGGGCCAGCGCCAGGCTCTGGAATTGTCGCGCCATGTTGGCCACTGAGTCCACGCGCTCGTCGTCCTGATTAAACTCGATGGCGTTGGCGAACATGAGCAGTAGGTCGGCGCGGTATTCCGTCGGGTCATTGTACTCGCCTGCATTGAGTTTGGCGCCCATCGTGCCCAGGTCCATGGGCTGCGAGATAACGTCGAAATATGTGGGCACGTTGAGCGCTACGGGGTCCACGGGTTCGAGAAATGGCCAGGCCAACGAGTGGCGAGACAGCTCCGCGTGCAGGCGCGCACATTTGGCGTGCAAGTCTGGCAGCATCGGCATGGCCTGAATTTTTTACTTTTTTGTAACAAAGTGAAAAAGACATTATAAATTATCGCTACTAAAATGATCCTCGGGAAATAAGCATTCATGTGCATACATCTCTGGAGCATAAATGTTAATGTATGTCTGCTGCTTCAGCTTCCTGTGAAGACCACTATTTGACGCAGTCAATCTGCTCTCTCCATGCGATTTACACTTCCAAATCCACGGCGCGAGTTAAACTTCTGTCCGTGTCTTGTTTTATTGCTGTAGATGTAGTTTCCGAAGGTGCGTCATCGGCCGCTCATGTCGACCGAAAGTGATTTGTTGTTGTTGATATAATTGAATGTAAAAACTGCAAGGAACAATAAAGTCAAAACGTAATCTTGCAATCAATTTAAAAAAATCGAAAAGATAATCAGGCGATATATAATAGAGAGATTTCGAAGAGAGCCAATCTTGGTCCGAGTCCTCGTTCGTAAAACGGGCATGGACCAAGACTAGGAATGCGAAGCAAGAGGTTTCGCTACAAATCTTAGTCCACTCTGCGAAAAGCCTACGAGCATTAACTAATTGAGGTAATCTTCGCCGTTCCGAAGCAGTTAACCGGCACCAACCATGACGAGTGGTGCTCCTTCACGAGCTCCGCTGTTCTGCTCAAAGCATTCGCTTTTGATCTCCAGCCCACCAAGATGCCAACATCTCGTAAACCTCCAAAGGAGAGTGCCCAGTCGACTGAGGCACCTTCAACAGCCACGACAACAGTGTCCTCCTCGAAATCGAGGACAAAAAGAAAGAAATTCAGCAAGCACGACGACCTAGTACTACTCCGGCAAGTTAGCGCAGACCAGCCTTTTGCTAGTGTTCGAGGCAGCCTTATGGGTGCGTGGACGTCTCTCGCCAACAAGGTGAAAGCCGTGCAGGGGTTTTCCAAGCAGGAGATTACTGGCAAGTCGGCACAGGCACGGTTCAATGTACTGGTGGAAAACCGTCGAGAAGCCGACAAAAAGTAGGCGGCAGCTTCGGGAGTCTCAGAGGATTACACGGAGTCGCAGCAGCTTCTGGACGAGATAGTGCTGGCTGTAGATGAGCATGCTAGAGAAGAGGCGCAGCGGGCTCTGGAGTTGAAGGAAAAGCTCGAGTCAGAAGATAACGTTGGTAAGCTAATGCGGGAGGAAGCTGTATCGCGCCTGAAGAAGCGGAAGGACAGAGGTGAAGAGAGCGAGTCTGAGAAGCCGTCGCCGCGCAAGGTAACCATCTACGACCTGATGCGTGAGGACAACGAAAAAGAGCGCCAAATGCGAGCTGAGCAATTTCAGCAGAAGCAAGAGTTGCAGCGAAAGCAGAAGGAAATGGAGCTTCAGGACCGGAAAGAGGAGCGAGAATTTAAGCTTCGTCTTGCTCGATTAGAAATCGAACGCTACGAAAACCTGCTAAAGCTAGCTCTGCTCAAGGCGCGTGGTGGAGCGGCGCTCGATGGAGTTGTTGGAAAGGTCGGTGACGTGGGCGAAGATGCAGGGGTTGGAGTGAGCGATAGTGTCTTGGGTCTTGGAGGTGGTGCTTGACCAAGCGCAGGAAATTCACCTTCTAGCCCAGATAATCCTGTAAGCTGGGTGGTGGCAGATCGAAGTACTGGCTGATTTGGTTGCCTCCGTAGTAGCAGTTGTGGCAGTTCGTTAGGAGCATAGCAACTTTAACAAACTTACCGACTGGTGACAAGCGAACCTTTTGCTGTTTATTGTAGTCGACGTACGACCACAGAGTTTTCATACACTTGAAATTCCATTCCACCGATTCACGAAGACGACTCATCTCGCTGTTGAAGTCACTTTCGTCGGCACTTACAGAATTTCCTTTATATCCACTGACGATGTACTTACGCGTTCCATACGCAAGGTCACCATAAAAAAGCTTCCCCTCAAACGTGTCTTGGTGTTCATCAAAGTATTCTAGAAGACCACTTTCCCGCAGCATGGTGCTGTCGTGGCGGCGTCCCTCCATGGGACCCCAGAAATGGATACAAAGCCCGTCAGGTGCCGTCACGGCTCGGTAGTTCAGGCAGTGAATGCGCTTGTGCCCGCTGTACAGATGCTTCTACAGGTTCTCACCTCTTTCACCATGACGGCGAGGTGAAGGACGACAAACCGCCACCTTGGTGCCGTCGGGGAACCCAAATACGCCCTCCGTCGGAGCTCCTTTCGCCTCGACGGCTTCGCAATACTCCTCCATGCGGGCGCTAACGATCGATTCAGCCATGAACAGCTTGTCCGCAAACGTGTCGTGCACGTAGTCGATCATGTGCAAGAATACACGACACAACCACGCTGTACCCCTTCCAAACGTCTTCATCATGTCGTAGGAGCGCGTTGGAAACGCTAAGCGAGCTAGCATCACGCAGAGGGAAGTGTCACCGGAACAAGTGTCGCCATGTGCCGTCACTACAGTGTCAGGGATGCGCAGCAGAGACCGTAGCTCGTAGACGCCAGCCACATCGAAGCGAAACTCAAGCTCGCTGTTTGCATCGGTGTAGCTAGCGAGGTCAAACGTCACAGCAGGAATCGAAGGCCGCTCAACTTGGTCGAGCAGCAACATGAAGCGAACCTTCTTCTTGCGGCTCATGTACTTGTTCTTGGCGATGTACCACTGCAGCAACGCAGTCTCCGACGACACCATACTGGTGGTGGCTGTGAAAGATTGGTTGTGAGAGGTCTCCAACCGGACAGGACATTCCTAAGAAAACCAGATTCCTCAGACTGTCTTGACAACAATTCCTGGTTCGTACTCGATGCTGCACTTTTCATGAACCTCAACCGAGAACGGACTAAGAATTGCTGGTTTCGAAATCTCTCTAATATTTCCGGAGTTCCCACCCGGACTCTGGATATACAATACAGAGAGCAATTACCGAATCCCCTTGTTAAAAGGCACCCCCTTTACTTTGTGGTAATAGCGTTTTGAATTAAAGTCATAGGCGCATGCTATAGTCCAGGGACTTGTGTCTCCGTCACATGTACGGCTGTAAAACTACACATGTACCACACTAGCAGTCAGCGGCCTGTGACATGCAGCACCCAAGTTATATATCGATCTTGATTCGAACATCCGACTTGTCCATCACCGCAAAGTCCATTTCTCGTAGCTTGTAGAGTACAGCTGCAAAAAGAATACTCCTTGGTGAAACGACTATCGTAATTCAAACTATCCGATAACGTTTGCATTGCTCGAAGTGACCCCAGTAAATCGAGATCCATCAACAATATAAGATCCTTCAGATTCTCCTCAAGTCCATCCCTGGACTCCCGATGTCCTAAATAATTCATCTTACGCATACCCCAGTAGCTCTTCACCACACTGGTAGAGATACTCCACTATTACACGCCTTCTGGGAACCCTTAACTCGTTTGCATAACTGATCCCACGGTTCCGCTAGGGGTAGGATATCATCGATGTAGGATCTACTCCTTAGCATAGACGGTACGCCCAGATTCTCGGGTCGCCCTTCCTCAAAGGAATCGGTACCGCAGGATTTCCGTCCGATCTCGAGATCCGGGTGAGCCCATACAAATAATTATCCACGAGCTGCTGATAGATCTGAGAAGTGCTCTTCAAACCGAACTGCATCCAGTTTCACCTGAACAGACCAAACGTAGTAATGAACGCCGCGATCGCGCGAGCTCTATCAGGCATAATTATCACCCAGAATCCACTGGCCATATCCAACAAACAAATACCTGAGTACCTTGTCGAGATCCTCCGACAGCTCAATGATCAGCGATATAGGGTAGACCATCCGCCTGGTCAGACCATTCACTAGTCGATAGTCAATGCACAATCTACCCCGTTCTTCTTAGCGATGACCACGACGGGAGATGCCCATAGTGACGTCGATAAGCGGATGATATTGGCGTATAGCAACCTTTTTATCAGATCTGACAGCTGCTCTTAGAATTGGGGTGCCACCTTCTGCACCTTCGGGACGATCGGCTTGGCAGCCACATCATCTGCAGAACCCATTCATGACTTGTACGACTTGTTTTTCGGGCCAATTAAGGATACCTACCTAAAACCCAGCAAAACAAAGGCCATCGTTTTTACTATTAATAACAATACCGCGCGATAGCACTCTTGACGAACTAAGGCGAGCGGGGTGCCCGTGAAACAGGGCCGCGCGGTATTTGTGGAGGCGGGCCCAGAGCTGAGCTCACCAGCGAGCAGCGCATTACACTCTTCGGTACTTTGTTTCTATATCGCGAGCGAAGCGAACGGCGGGGACATTCAAGGGGCATCCAGTCGCTGGCTGATTTCGGGTCTGCATTTGTTGGTTGAGTCCGTCATACGGTTTTTATGCGGCTTTTGTATTATGAAAGTACCAATAATTGGGTAAATGTATCTAAATTTAGGACATTTTGTAGGACATATTAAGGGTTTGTAGGACATTGGTCCAGAATTTGGGACAGTAGCTGATCTTTTTGGAGTCCCCGTAACTACGTTAGGTGAGTACCTGAGAGTCGCCCAAAACATGTCCTTGCATGAGTTACACTTCGAACAGTTCTCGGGAAGAGCCCAGGGGTAACCCCTACAGGGTAGAGACCACCCCGGCTCTCGGACAAGTCGTGAAGGTCTTCAGGGCCGTTCATAACCGAGATCAAAACCTGTCGGACCGTGAGCGATGCCTGGGATTGCGAGCCCGTCATTCTTAATCGGATCGCGACCTGTCCACTAAAGGAACGCCACATCACGTTAATAAAAAATCTAAAATTTGCTAATAATGCTGTATGTGCATCATTACAAGCGTAACAAACCAAGTAGCGGAGGCTATTGTATAGGCGCTCTAGATCTCTACTACAATCGCTTTGCACGCACGTCTTCGCAAGAGGTGTGCTGGCGCCACTTTCTGCCTGCCTCGCGATCCAGCGATTCCTGAGAGGTCGCGACCCAATGATCGGATCGCATTTGTTACTCGGGTTATACATTCGAAAACACGTGAGTATGGATTAGCCAACCACAGACCGATTTTTCGG